CCTCTTTCAAATTCGTCAGATGCCGCCGCTAGTTGAGTTAGCCAATGAGAGTTTGCAAAATACTCACAGCCAGACTTTCCTGTCAACTAAACAACCTGAGTCACTGTTGTAGAGGCTTCTACTTCATTCATGCATCCGTCCATCATCGAGCACTTATTCCTCTGCAGGGTCACATGGGAGGTCAACTTCAAATGTCCGGAACAACGGACAGAGCAGTAATATGTTTTGGGCTGTGGGAGAAAATCAAAGTACCCGGAAATCCTACCAACATTTGCCACCATGATTATGAATGTTGAAAATCATACAGAAATCTAGACCTTTTTTACTTTCTGATGGGATGCTAATGTGGGAGCAAAGCTGGACGTCTCAGTCCGTGGCTCAAGGAAGGAACTGGATTTAACATGTTTCACAAAGTTACTTACAGCACTGTCACATTGGTTACTAGGCAACAAGTGTTTAAGGTAAGTTTCATAATCTTAAAACACACACACACACACACACACACACATACATATACAGTATATCAAAAAAAGCACATGCTCTATGTTGGTAGAACCCAAACGTTACAGCACCTCCTGCAGTTTCACATGACAACCTGATTTTTTTAACTAAGTCTTAAGGACTGTAAGGATCAAAGTGTGAAGCTGTTGTGTAGGCCAATGAACATCAGAGGAATCAATTCTACAAGAGCTTTTCACGCTCTGTTCCAGTGAACACATCACATCTCTGCTTGTCTTCACATCTTCTGTCTGTACTGTCTGTGTGTGTTCTCTAAATTCACAGTAGTACTCGATATCACCTTTGTAGTATCTGAAAACCTGCATATTATTGTTATTGTTCGTATTTGATTCATTTTGTCTCTTTTTATTTATGTGCTATACTGGATTCTGAACATACGTACATGCATACATTAGCGTTAGCTTCGTGCAAACTTAATTATCTTTTCAAAGTTTGTTCTCAGGGTTCACAATGATACAAATATCCTGTCTGACTCTCAACATGACAGCTACACACATAAACAAACAAACTCTGTCTATGCCAAACACAGTCAGACGCTGGCTGTCATTTAGAATCACAAAACAAATCATGTAAATGTAAAAGGCAATTAAATAAACTCAGCTCAGTAATGAGAAACATGTAAATATTACAAGCGCTTGTTTACACAGTTGATTTGTTGAGATGATTGTTTGTTGTTCTGTCGTTGTCCAACACACATGCATCTATTGTTCGTCTTCCTGTTTTTATGTTGTGTTTTGACCACACAAGCACACCCTGTGTGTGTGCACATTTTTATTGGTATTTATTTTTTTATATGCAAAATGAATGTATTTTGACAAGTATTCTTCCTATTTTCTTTTACTTATTTTGTTGACTTATTTTAGCCTCTCCAAAAAGCAATTAAAATCCAAGAACTAAATTATAATAACAATCAGGCTCCACCTGTGAACTGATTCTTACTATTTTTTCCTTATGAAAAACTAAACTTTGTGTACTCTGTTTGAACCAAGTGACACTTCCCACAATACTAATATCCACAGACTTTGACCTACTTACATCAATGTCATTTCTTTTCCATAATGACTGCACTGTCTGTTCCACCATATCTTCCTCTGACTGAACCCAAACACCCACAGTGAAACAGCAGCAGCCGCAGCAGCACAGTCACCACAGTCTGTCTGTCTGTCTGTCCAACAACCTCGGCTGCTTTCATTCAGGCAAAAAAAAAAAATACCCAGTTCACCTCAGGATCATCATCACAAAAGAATATTTAAACTTTAAGTGTCTATTATTATACACAGCACACAGTAAACACAGCATTTGTTTGATTCATTTTGTGTGAGTGTAGCCTTAGATAAGCAAGTATTGGATAGTCTTTTACTCTGCCATAGGCTGACTACAGACTACAGACACAACTGCAGATATTAAAATATGCATTAGGAAGTATTTGCTGGGATGGCTATTTCCTGCAAAATCCATTTGATGTATAAATGGAAAACTGCTTAGGTGATGTACTTGCTTTAGTTTTTGCTCAGCCATCAACTGTCATCTTTAAAACTTCTAAGCAGCTCAACTGGATGTTAAAGAATCCTAGAAACATCCCATTAAACTAAACGGATGTTTCAGAAACAGAAAAATGTTGGCTAACCCTGAGCTCAGGGTTCAGTGGCGCAATATCGGGGTGAGGATAAGGACGATTCTTAAAAAATATATTTAATCAAATAAAGACTGGCGATCTCCACAAGTATTATTATTTTGTCAACAGTCAAAAGAAACTGTGTGAAAGCCACGGCCAATCAGATCATATTAAAATCATTGTGGGAAACAGTTTGTAGCTGTACTGTAACATGTCAGAAAGAATAACAGTTCTCTGGCCTCATTTAAGAAGGAAAAGTAATGTACAATGTTTGGGGGGAAAAAACTAACTGACACAGTGGAGTCCATAACCGTAGGTAGAAACACTATCCAGACTCTTATCACAGATGCACCAGTCCACATCTGTGAGGATAAGGACATGAGGACGGCTTTGGGATTTGCTTAATTTGAGGTTATTAGAATTTCAGAGAAACATATGCTCCCGTTAAGATGAGGGGTGCATATGAGGCAAAGCCACAAAGTTCTACAACAGACGATACATTCTCAAAAGGTGTACAGGTGTATTCACTGAAGCTCGTTGAGACATGAAACTCAGCTTTGTGTTTTTTTATCCCTAGGACAAGGACTCTAATCAACCAAAGAAAGCCTTGGTCGACCGAAGGACTGGGATTTCGACTAAAAATTGACAAATCGTGGGGGTAGATGGAAGGGTAGGCTGCGCAGTGCTTTGTGCAGCTCACAGGGCAGCCACAAGGGGCGCTCCATTAGGCAAATGTGGTTCCACAGGTAATCGAACCCAGGACACTGCTGTTAACTGCTACACTACGGAACCACGAAACCACTGAAATATACAATATGACAATAAAACAGTTTTTATTAAACTGTAATTATAATATTGTTTAAAATACATTGATTATTGATAGAATATTATTGTTTCATATTATTTAAGGGCCACATCTAACATTTGCCGGTAGTGAACTGTTATTTTGCACCATATTCTGCCACAGCTTTTTTCAACTGCAGCCTCTTTGAATTTACCCTTGCTATATACCCTTGGGAAAAAGGGGGCAAGTGAAGTTATGGTTTAACACATGCATACAAAGTGATGGAAGAGTGTGGCTGACACCGAGGAACATCTGCACTGGTTTAGGTTCAGTCCAGCCCAAAAAATAAGGAAATGACATCAGATCAATAGCATAGTTACCAAAACAAGATTACTGATGCCAGTGTGTGTGTGTGTGTGTGTGTGTGTGTGTGTGTGCTGCTATAAAATGATAAGAGCACAGCAGAATCTGATGTGTATAGTGGCTCTCATCATGGAAAGCTCCTCAAAGTTTCAATGAAATGTTTGTGCTGTCTCTATAAATCACCACGAAATGCTTTACCACTGTGGTTTATGGCACCACAGAGAGTGTGTGTGTGTGTGTGTGCATGTGGTCTGGTTATAGCTACACAAGGACACCTTGTACTTTGGGTCCAAAGTAAGAAGAAGAGGACTAATAAGAGGTTGGAGTCTGGGTTAGGGATCGGGAAATAATGTCGTTGAAAAAAACAAAAACAAAAACAAAAAAAAACCAGGACATTTAAAGTGCCTCTGTAAAAGAATAAAAAATGACATCAGTTACTGCCTAAATCACAACTATAGGATGAAACCAATTGTGTACTATTACAGCGATTGGATGATTCAGTAAAACTGAGCTCCCAGGCAGACAGACACCACAGCCTGGTGGTGAATGAGCTGACTCACGTTCTGTCTGAACAGCAGGTATTAGAACAGGAACTGTACCTCTCATCTTTCTCAGCAAACACAAGCACACTTTAATGAAGTATTTATCTGACTGAGTGCAATAAACTACGTCTTTTCACAGACAGTAAGACTCAGAGGTGGAGAATTCAACCAATAGGATTTCACATCAAGACAAGGAGACAACGCAGAACTCCATGCAAGAACTGCCCGTGGTTTTAATACCCAACATAGGTTAGCATTAGCGGTGAAAGAAAATATTGTATAATATTGTTTAATATATCTATTTAAATATATTTGCATATATATGTGGGGGAGTGGTACTGTGCTCAATTCCATGTTGATTGGGAAGTACAAACGAAACGCTCTTGGATTTGTGCATTCACACACTCTGACAGAACTGAATTTTCGTGCGTACGCCAGTTTCTAGATCTTTGTGTAGACCATTTGTTCATGCTGAAATCTACGCAACTCTTTGTACACGAGGCCCTGGATTCTTATCCGTGTGCCTCCTTACAGAGAGAACAGGAAGAAATTGAATCCAATCAGTGAAATTAACCATTAAAGATATTTTGATCATTTAAGAATTCAAATCTTTCCTTCATTCCGTGACATTTTAGAGTCATGTGAAGTTCACCTTATTGCCTCTTACATTACTGTTTCAAGTCAAAAAGACCGAGTCTCACTCAGAGAGAAGCAGGGTCAAGCAAAAGAGAAGGAAGAATTTCAATTGAAATATTAATTACTATCATTATTACGTGACACATGGTGAGAACAGAGATCTCTAATGAAGGTCATTACCCCCCCGACTGCTTAATGGCTGCAGGTCACCTGCTTTGACAGACTTCCATGTGAGCTGCCCACCAGTCTGTGCTGAAATACTCTGCAGAACAATGACCCTATACTGTGGTGCTATAGAGGACGAATAACCTGCAAATAAGAGAACTTTGATCTTATTCCAAATTCTTCCCTGAGTCTTAATTGACCAATAATTCAAATCATTACCGTGCTGCTGACTGAGTCAGGCGGAAAACAACAGCGTTTCATTCCTGCCGCGCCGTCGTTTTAGACGCTGGTCAACAAATGCTAAGGTAGTATTCACAGCAGTCTTTCTTAGACTCAGACTTCACCTCCTGACTGACAGTGATTTAAATTCACTCACCACTGTCGTGAGACGTTCTTCAGACTTGAGGCTTGTGATTTCCCTGTGTTGTCACTCCCAACCCTGAAAGACAGAGAAAGTACACGGTTGATACAGTACAGTCAAAGAAGTACGTGTACATTTTATCGTAAACCTGATTAAATGAGGTGAAGCCTCATCTGCCTGACATTTATCTTTCAATTCAACAACACACTCGTGGTGATGGACAGCCTGTGGATCAGTGGTAACATGATTGTTACTGGAGGGTCACTGGTTACAATGTGTGTGTCCGTATATGTACGTTAGCCAATTAAGCTAAGTCGGACTCTTCTGAATAAATGTTAGGATGTTGACATAGTCACTATTTTGTAATTGCTGATGTTACGAGACTTGCGTCCTCTAACTCAAGGTTTTTTTTATTTGACACGATACTGTTTTTTTGTTTTTTTGTATAAACAACAACATATCCATACCTTGTGATATTTTTTAACCCAATAAATTCTTTTACATTACATTATTTTAAATTGAAACTCTAACCACGAGCATCCTCCTGTTGAAGACTGATGCCCAGCAGCATCACATTTTACCTTGAAGAAATCAAACTTCAAACCAGTCAAGGAAAATGTCATGTTGTTTTTCTTACATCACCAACCTTTACAAGCATTTTACAGTGTCATCACTGAAACGGTGGTTAAAAAAAGTTACTCTTTTGTGACTGCAAAATCACCTTTGAAGTACTTCTAAATTTAGCCAAGCACATACAGTGGAAAGTACTATGACTGCATGAATCTTGACACCTCTCGCTGTGTCAGGGGCCTCTGCTTGGAGGTTCTTGACACAGGCTTCAAGCAGAGGCGTCACTGAGGAGGCCTTTTATTTTTGTTAACATCTCATGTTTTTACAGTTTCCTACTGATGCAACAAGGAAGCAGACAGAGTTGGCTTTTATACATCCTGGATGAGGATCAGTAACAAGGTTTGTTGTTTACTGAAAGGTAGGGCATTGATCTGCTCGTCTACTGCAAACGTTTCTGAGCAGTCTCTCCGCGATGCTACGCTGGTAGAATGTTAATGGTAAAAGTGCGAACACACGAATCAGCTCTCCACTAATTGATCTTTTTATGGTGATGATAAATAAAGAATTCACCCTTGACAGCATGTGCTATGTTGATTGATGGACATAGAGGGAAAAAAAAAACCTTTCACAAAGCAATATCAAAGGCAAAAAAATAATTTAAATTAAATTCATATAATTAAATAAATAAATAACTATATATGTTTTTACATTAAATGCAAATGTAAAATTTGTATTTTTTATTATTAATGACACATGAAATGACATTTATAATTCCAATTTTATTATTTATTTATTTAATGTGGCACTTTCAGTCCTCCATTATATATGCTTTTTTTTTTTCCTGACAAGTTCCTGACATAATGTATCTTGCTGTCATATTTATTTATTGTTTAAGACTTTAAAGTCAGGGCCACTCCAAAGATTGATGTTCAATACAAAAATTACAAAATTCAGGTATTTTTTATTAGGTAAAAAAAATGTTGTGGACAACTATAAGTACTGTGTAATACTACAGTTCGAACAGCCAGGATACATCTGTATTGTCATTCTTAAATGACCAACTGAAAAATAAAAAAATGAAAACAAATGAAAAGAACTGCAGTCAAGGTTAACATGAATTCATTACTGACATATAGTTACAGGGCAGATTTAACAAGTGCTGGTCTGAAATGAATGGAGGAGCCACTCTGCTGTAAAAAGGCTCACTAAGAAACATCCCTGACCTGCTTTGTTTTATAGTGTTTCCTCTGTTGACAATCAACCTGCCTGCTTTTACAGCCTCCATGTTCCTTCATCTCTAACCTCCCTCCCTCCCTCTCACCCCATCCAGGTGGATTTACTTGTTCTTTCTGGATGTAGAACTTCAAACTGGTGCTGATTCAAACACCTGTTCGTCAACACTTCACATCACCACTCTGCTCTGTGTTTTCCACAAAGCCACAGCACACACTACTACTGTTCTTTTCCAAAGAAGATTCCACCAGTGTTCTTAAACGGTGACGGTAATTGACATGCAGTATTCTGATGTAAGATAGCATGGCTGTCTATTCTGCTCTAATCTGTGTGATGGAAATGATTTCACACAAAATAAAGTGAAGTATTTTCTTGATAATCTCTGATAATCTTTTTTTCCGCTTCCCACGATAATTGTAACGTCTACAGTTCTCACCCGGGCTGTCTTTGATTTTCTTCCAGTCTTTATGTACACAGACAAATTTGATTAAACTTTTCATGAACAACGCTTTCAGCATGTTATCATGTACATGTAGTTTTAGTAATTAAATAATGAGAAGGTAAATTAATTTTTCATTGAGTTATTGAGTTTTACTGGGACTCCTCCACTTACATCGAGGTTTGGTTCCTAGCGCTGACGTAACTGGAATGTTTGCCTTAAGTCCGAGCTTACGTGGAATAACATAATTACCTATCGCAAAATACGTAGAAAAACAGAAGCAGTTGGCCTCGGGAACTATTGCTTTTACATGGAGTTAGTCAGTGCGAACAGCCATGAAGATCACACAGAAGGTGTGCAGTTGAATTATTTATTTTCTTCAACAATTTGGTCTGACAAGCAATGACGTCAGAAGACTCTGACTGATGCCTGTGAGCCATAATGAAGGGCAAAAAGTTGAAATGCCATACTGAATGTAAACAGATGCGTCCTCCTCGTTGGTACAATGAGATGCACCTGCTTTATTCATGCATGATGCATGTGGAGATGAGGTGAGAACATTAATGTGAAATGCCATCCACTGCTACTTGTACGCT